GGGGGGGGGGGGCATTGATGAAGAAGGTAGCTTAAGTTTATAGAGAAAGAATGGGAGAAGAGAAGAAAAAAATACTTCAGGGAGGGGGGCCATTCATGAAGAAGAGAGCTTAAGTTTACAGAGAAAAAATGAGAGAAACGGCTGTGAGCCTGTAACCTAATTAGATTGTGGGAAATCCTTCTTCCCAAAAAATAAAAAATATACTAATTTCCCAGAGAATGTGTGGGAATATTAAAAATATTCCATATACTTTTTTTAGTTTGCCAGTATTTTTTCTGAGAACTTTTTTTAAGTTTTATGTAATTAATTTTCAATTATTTTCCCACTAACATAGGTGGGAAACGAATTTCGCGGTTTTAGGCGCTAAACAGTTCCCACGAAAAGTCTATGAGAACTATTAAAATTTTGGTAAAATTTTTGTGTCTCCAATTTTCCACTGATTTTATAAATTTTTTGGTGGGAATTACCATTGATATATTTTCGTGGGAAATACCCGTGAGAAATTTACATTATTCTAGTAGTGATCTAACTACTAGCTTGAACAGTCCTATTGGGATAGGTCTTCCCTTGAATATCAGTAGAGTCTGCCATGATCAATCTATTTCCTATGAGTTAGACTATAGTTATGCCCTGTAGTAGTCTGAATATAAATCCATCACGTTTAACTATTCAACTAATCCTGTGTAGCTGATTTGAGTTTCTTATGTGTGATGTCTCCCCTATCCTTAATCCCTAATGATACTTACAATCTGATTCTTCAATATTTGAGATTCATCATGTCTTGTGAAGTCATAATATTGATTGAAATCTCTGTGTGTGGGGAGTTTGGTATGAACTTTATATATCCTCCATGACTCTACATTTGAACACTGTTTTAAACTTATAATCAGTCTTTTCTCTCCATTGTTATTCTAGATTGAACCTAATGTAAGGAAAACCGTTTACTGTTATCTGGTTGAATGCAATAGCTTGTTTGTGTCATTGTTTGAATCTGTATTAATTATCTCAAGGGATTCCAGCAATGTCCTTAGCCTAAGTACATATTTATCTGTGATCAATGTTAAGGTATTAGTCTATATATCCTAAAGTTGTTATAATTCTAAATTATATGCCTTTTTTGTCTATGAGATGTATGATTTCTTTTGTCTAATGTTCATCAATAGCGACATAAGTATTCCAATTGCCATATGTGCCTAGAAATATGATTTTTCAAAACCTATTCATATGTGTGCTTCACTTATTTAATGTTGAAGTATAGGGATTATTCTATGTGTCTATTTCTGTGTTATTCTACTAAGGGAAGTAGGCTTTTGTGGTAGGAAATGTCTTAGTGGTTGGTTTGCATTGAGAAGGCCTCATTGTCATTCAAACCTATAGGTAAGAATTGGTCGTTAGTGGTTAAAGGTATTTGGGAGTAGAGTTTAACTCTAGGTTGTGCTGCTCTCCCCGGCACAAATATTGCCTTGAGCCTCGAGACTCTTGGGAATTTTGAAGTATTGGGGGATTCAAAGGGGGCATCAGCATTGAGTAGAAATCTCTACTTAGCCTTTAATTCATTGACACTAATTAATCTATTTGGGTTTGGTATTTAATGGCAACAAAAGGTATTCAATGTGAATCATTTACTATACACGACTCCCACATTAACATGATTCTCTTAGAATTTAGGTGTTGTCAGTGAGCTCGTCTTTTGATCTTTACTTAGTATGATTTCTTTAAGAATTCGAACACTATCAGTAATTGTATTAGTCTTTGNGGGGAGGGCATGTACAAATGATTTAGGCCTACTGAGTTCTCACCTGTTCTTTGAGGCCCAAACCTCCCAGAGTCACTCCTTTCCTTTTATCTCTTTATTTATTGTTTCGCTATTCCTTAGCTTGCACTATGTCATTGCTCGTTGTTGTTTTCTGTTTGTTATCTCTCATTATGTATGTGGAAAGTATATATATTGGATTGAACATTTATCCTTACCTTTTAGTACATAAAATGACTTAGGTAAACCTAAAGAACTTAGGATTAAAAAAGAAGCGTTAGTCAGTAATTAATTATATATCCGCTAATCATAAGCTGTTATTAATTTATCATGCCTTACTAACTCTTTTCTTAAAGATTTTTGAAGTCCAAAGGCTTAACAAAGGCAGTCGTCCCTATTTTCAAAAATCAGAATTGTCGCGGTTTAATCTCCCAAAAGGAATTATCTGTCTCGAAAATACTGAGGTGTTGCTGCACTAAAACAAAAGGTTTTTCAAACGATTTTCTACTTCAAAACCAAAGTACATCTTAGAATCATTTTCATAAAAGGTTTTAACTTGATTTCCTTTTCATACTTACACAAATATTTCCATTTTTCAAAGTTTTCTTTTTAAGCTTATATACACTAACATTAATTTACAAAAGACTTTTCTTTAATCCATCTTCTTTAAACCATATTTCCCTTTGTAGACATTATGTCCTAATGTGAGCTTTACCCTTAGAACATTAGTTAAGGCATAGTACAAATAATTAATTCTGAATCTAGTTTGAGTCCTATGGAGCTACCTCATGTAGATTTTAAGGGGTGCCTAATACCTTCCCCTTAGAAGAACAAGAACCATTACCCGTGATCTCACCGGTTAGTAGACCGATAATGAATATAACCTTTAGTAATTAAATAGGTGCCCTAATATACCTTTAAATATTGGGTGGCGACTCTCATTTATCAACAACAGAGAAACCACAAGTTGAATCATGTTTTGACTAGTGCAAAATAAGGTGCAACAAGGCTGACCTGGAATTTAAGATTTCAAAGAACAAGTGTAAAATAGGGTGTGTTATAGAGATTCCTATCAAATCACCACTATTATCCTTAGCTCCACGGTGGGCACCAAACTGTTTACCTCAAAAATGAGTAACATTAAATTTGTACGTGGTTTAAAGGATACGTGGTTTAATTCAATACGAATAATTAAGAATAACAGATAGATGAATTAAAGATAAAATAAACGATCAAACCAATCACAATGCAATGTCCAAGCCTGATCTCAGCTTGAACAATGGAACTTGTCCTTGATTAGGCCCTCAGTACAAGTTCGGTCACAAGTGAAAAGAAGAACCAGTGAGTAACGCCTTGAACAGTAGCTAGAAGACAAAAGTAAACTTTTATTGGATTGAATTGCGTGTATCACACTAAAGAAAAACTTCCCCTTTATATAGTAGGAGAATTTCAGTCATAGTACAAGTCTAAAAAAGGTAAATATATTCTTTTCCGGGTAATTATTGATCTATAATTGATACTGAACGGGATCCACGCAGTAATATCTGGTTGAGGGCGAATATTACGGTCCCCTATCCGTCATGCATAACCGTTCACCGCGTCTCCCGAGGTCGAGGAGCCATACTTGGTTTGGGGTACGTCGCTTTACCGTGTCCGGTCTCAGATACATCGTTTATTTTTCTCGGGTTTCGATATGAGGGATTCGTGACCTCGATTATAATCACGTCGATCTGTGCTTCCCTTTCGTTTTCTTACCGGAGAATCGGAGGAAACTTTACCACCGATTTTACCCGTACACAAGTTCGCTTCTGATCATAAGCAATGGCGCAGCGACAACGACAGAAAATTATAATGTAGCTAGGTCAATTTTTTTATAATATGTATATATGATATATTATTAATTCTTAAATTTTTTGTGTGTTTACTTTTTATATTTTGAAATTTGTAGTAAAATTTCTGATTTCGCTACCTATACCAAGTCACAACACACATCGCAATTGCTGGTAAGAAAGTCTGTTGGGACCTACTTGGTGTCTTCTTTACCGGACACCGGATGCTCTGTCTTCGTCAAACTTGAAATTGAAACCACAAAAGATCACTCACTGGTCGTACAGCTCACATGGGATTCTTTTTTTCTTTCCCTTTTGTATCATTTTTTGAAGGGAGACTTTCGTTTTTTGTACTCTTGTTTGAGTTTCCCTCTTGTGAGTCTTGACTAAACATAAAACAGAATATTAAAAAATAATTGTTGTCTTGCACCATATGAACAAATGTAGGACCTATTTATAGACACAATATTCTCAAATCTACTAGGGATCATTCCAACAAATTGTACAATTGTCAACTAGTGAATACATTATTTCTTGTTTAGATTTGTGTGTAAAATCTCTTAAAATGAAGTTTATACCACCCTTTTCTTCTAGCATTCTCTTAATTTTATTTAGTATTGCTTTTGTCCCACTCTTTTTGTCCAGTTGTTGAGATAGAACATTGGTTTTTTTTTACTTTTAGACTGCGCCAAAAACTATTTATATTTGATAGTTAAAAAATATATAAAACTTGTATAATTTTTGTATATAACTATATATATATATAAATATACATTTTTGACTATTATTTTAAAAACGGATATACAATATCATTTTTCCTATAACATACTCTCACATAAAATTTAGTATTAAGACAAGATGAAAAAGAATATTGATGTAGTTCAAACATAGGTCTCAAAAAGAATACAAAAATAGGTCTCATAGTCTAGTCATTGGGGCTAAAGTTGTCTTTAAAAAGAAAGAGAAAGGAAGGAAAAGTAAAGTTGAGTAATGTAATAATGTTCACAAGAGAAGAGAAGGGATATAAAAACGAGAAGGAAAAAAAAAAGTTAAAGTTGGCAAACCTAAGGAAAATTAATATTTGATATTTAAAATTGTATTTGTATACGAATTTACTTATATAAAAAAATAAAATTTATGAACAGAATTTTTTTCATATGAAATACTTTTAATAAAACATACTAAGTACTTTCAACAATTCATG